GACAAAAACCAGCCTCGTAGTTTTAAGATGAAAATAATCACAAAACAGATCGATATAAGCAGACAAAGACACAGAACACAATAAAAAACCATCCCATGTTTTCCACCATTGCAACTCAAAGAACCATAGCATATGTATTAAAAACACAGTAATTTTAAACAAAGAACCAAACATAAGCAAACAAAAAATCAAGGAATCCATCTTAATTGAACAAAACAACTCTACTCTAAACCAACATCCTGGGGTGCCAAGATTATCTCTTCTAAGTCTTGCAACAGTATCCAGTCATGTGACATCTTTGTTCCATACTGTGTATATATATATATATATATCTATGTCAGTGTAAACTATTTGTACCTGATGATGACAAAACTTTGTCGAAACATTGTACATTTGCTGTTTTGTTAAACTTATATTGAAATTTTTTCTTCATTACCCATTCAAGCCGTCTCCAAGCATTATCTGCTTACTAACTTCTTTTAATATGCTTATTTTATTGTAATATTTAAAATACAACGTGTTTTTTGCACAATTGTTCATTTTAATATGGTGTTTTGGCTGTAATTACATTTGATTTGTATCTTTATTTTAAAACTGACATTGTGATATGTAGCAGTCAAAATGATGGCAGTTTTAGATACGAGTTAAACCCTGGTGGTTCTAGTGTTAAAATTGTTCCCTCATTTTCTTAACTTTAAGGTTTCTATCCTTCAGTTTGGATATTATAAAACAAAAATGTACTTATAAATTTTGAAACTAGACAAAAACATCAGTTAATTAAATCACTAACTAGACAATATATAAAGATATTTAAATTGCTAGAAAATAAAACTAGACTACATACACTTGAAAAATTTGACAATAAAAATTTGTTGAAGGTTAAGAGCAACTGCATGAACTTAATAATTTGAGTTGACCATGAAATAAAAATTATTTTATAGAAAAAACTGATAGAGTGATATTCAATTTACTTAAAGTATGTATTAAATGATGATGAAAAAAAAGGTTTTTGCTCATGGTCTAAAATTTAGCATCCCCAATAGGTTTAAGTTTGAAGATTATTTTCTAACATTTGAAAAGTATTTGCAAATGCTGTCACATCAACATATTTGGAATAAATCAGGGCTAAATTTAGTATCATCAAAACTAAAATCAGCGGTATAGCTTTGACAGATTTTAATAATAATAGTGATTACAAACACTTCTTAAATTTAAGTTCAGAAGAATTTGAAGCCTTAAAAAATCTTAGTAAAAATGACAGTATTGTTATTTCTAAGTCAGATAAAAGTGATTCTTTAAGAAAAGAAGAAGCAGCTGTAAGTAACTATACTAAATTTGCAGAATCTCAGTATGATCCTACTCACAAAAGAGGCTAAATTGCAATGATATGTATTACAACTGAAGAAAGACAATATTCTTAATGAAAGAAAGTACTGGAATATCAGATCATCAGGGAGCCATCCTAGAATGCTGGAACTCACAACCATGCTTTGGCTGTTTTTTTGGTAGAATTTTTTAAGAAGTTTACCACAAATGAATACACCAGGAAAAACATTTTTAAGTTTTGTCATCAAATACAACAGCTGAAGTTTGCTACTGTACAGGTGCATTCATCATTTGATGTATACCAATGTATTTGTTTTTCCTGTCAGCAGGGCTACACTGGTTCTACTAAAAGAAAATTTCTAACACATGTGAAAGAACATCTTAAACTAAGGTTACCAGTTAAGTCTAATATACTTGTGCATGCTCTAAGTGAATTTGATGCTCTTGTCTGTCCTAATTTGTATAAGATACTAGCCATAGCCAATGATGAAGAGAACCTGTACATTAAAAAAAAAGAGTTTGCTCATTTATAAGCTGAGGCTCAAAATTTATGTTCTTTGTTCTGCATGTACTTCATCTCAAATTCAAAAGATAAACTTTTTTAAAATACTTCTGATGTACTAGTAAATGATGAAGACAAACAACTAACTAACCAATTTCTGATCAAAACATCCATATATATATATATGATCCTTCTGCTGTATTGAAAAAAGATCAATAACACTAAACCCAATATATTTATGTACCAAATAACTATTTTTATATAATCATCTGTCTATATTCAGACAAAATGAAAACATATCTCTGATCCAAATATCCAGTAATAGATAATTTTTCTACTATACTGAAAACAGATTAGACAGACTAAACCCAACATATTTATAATTCAAATGTCTAACTTTTTATAAATCATTATGCTATATGAAGAACAGATGAAAAAACAGACTATGGTCAGTATACCTCTGATCCAAATGTCCAGCTTTATATAATCCTTCTGCTACATTGAGAGAAGATAGACTACTACCCACAGCACTGTCTACACTGCTTACAATATTATCAGCTGTACCACAATGGAAATGGAGCTTGCCTGCTGCTCGAAGGTTGTTAAGACCATGATCATTCAAACTACTTTTTTCCTATACATTAGAAACGCATGATTTTCAAAATAATATTTTACAAAAACATATTTTATGAATTTTGTACACAATTATATTTTTGTCATTTTCTTATAAAAAACAATTCACCATAGAAATGGAAAAAAATGATACTATGCAAAGGAGACTAATGCTATAGCATTAAAAATAACTTCTTTATAAAATAAAATACATTTTGTAACAATTGCAATCATTAAGTTCAGAATGTTCCAAAATTAACTTATATATATATATATATTCAATTAATATGTTGTTTAAACACTCATAGAGAATGTTACAAAATGAATATTTTAATATTAATTTTGCTAAACTGCTGGCACATTTAAATGAATGAGATTCAATGAAAGGAAAAGACATAAAATTAGTCAGAAAACAAAATTATTTGTAGTGAACATGTCAGTTTTAGTACAAATGTTTCACTCACAAATATCTCTGAACTCTGATAACTGAAAAATAGAAAATGACAAAAACCCATAATTTGCAGACATTTTATTACGTTCAACAGAAAACACACTATTTTTTGTGAATCAGGCAATAAATGTGATTGCTGACGAATGCTAGTAACTTGAATGGGAGTTAAATAAGAGGGTTTAAAAGAATTTTCAAAATCATGGTGGAAACTGAGATACTATTGTAAGGTAAGGAAACACTCTCAGACAATAAAATCAGGTATTGTTAGATTTGCATTACTGCCTCCAAAAGTATGAACATCTGTGACTGTTTTCCTTGTTATAACTGCAGATTATAAAATTGAAATTATAAGGCTATTGATAGTGGGCTTGAAGAGAGAGAGAGAGGATAAAAGTAAAGTAGATACTGCAGGATAAACATCAACAGTAAGGGAAGGAAAAGTTGTCTGTGTTTATTACCTGTGTAAAGTTAGCTGATGAATAACCACTCCCCGGCATTGATACAGCTACTGAGGCTGGCAATATGCACTGTTGATGCTCTTCCACTGGATTAGCTATGAATCGTGAACCCATCTGAGCAACATGCTGAAGAAGCAAAATATACTCTTAACAAAAAACATTCTAAACATATGTACATTCATAATATTTGTCATTCAGTCAGACAAAAGCTGCAACTTAAAAGATATTTCAGCCAAAGCTAACCACAACCTTTTACTGTACATTTCTCAGTTTATAGAATACCTCTTAAAATATAGATGTAAATTTGTACAAATATGTATAAATATATTGCCTTTCCTAAATTATTTCATTAACTTTGATGAAGATTTAAATTTTTTGACGTATGAAATATTAGAATAATTCTGCCATATGCAAGTGTAAATTTAATATTTTTGGACTATAGGAATCAAGAAAAATTTGTAATTATTTCATTATAATAAAAATAATACAATAATCCCACTAGCAGTTTCATAAGTACTTTGTTTGTTATTGAACATTCAATTCTAAGAATTTGTGTAATTATCTTTAATCTAGCAAGTAATTAGTAATTTTATTACTTACTCATGATACTGTTACATATTATTTTCAAATAGTTGTGTAAAAAACAGAAAGAAAAATTGTCAAGTATAACATAAGTGACAATTTATTTTCTTGGTGAAACGTGATATTGATGTTTAAACTTTACATTAAAAAGTAATACAATTTTGGACAGTAGCACAAGCTTTAACTTTGCTATACAAAGATTTGTTCATTATGCTTGCAGTTACATGTCACTAGTTTGATTGAAGATAATGTTGTTTGAATTATATGAATAATAAAAAAGTTGAATAAAGTACAAAGCTTAAATAACTTCTAGAATAAACTGTTGTAAAACTTTGTAATATTTTCTTCTATAAATGTGTCTGTCAGATAAAAGTACAGTTGATCAGAATTTAAAGTCAGAATATGAAGCATTTAATGAAGGTGTAATAGATTAGTAAAAAACCTCTTATCAAAATTAAAAGGTTCTTGTAAAGCATATTGAATTCAGATGTTGTTACAGTTTAAGCCTAGGCTTGAAGTCAATAAATGTGATCTAGGATACTGCAGTCTTGTGGCCTGAGGGAGGTTAAAATTCAACTTTGTTAGAACCAAATTATTTCTAGAAAAAATTACAATAGTGCAATGTCAGGAAGTTGTCCTGCTGGGTTACAAGTGTGCTTGTTATAGTTAATCCCAAAAGAATCCTTGTTGAAAGATTGGTTCACAGCAAGATCTACAAATCACAAGTTTGGTCAAAATTTAAGTTACCAGATCTACGATATTACAAACTCCCTGAATTCTACATCATAGTGAAGCAACTGGAAATTTTTGAGGATATTTCATCAATTGCTTCAATAGTTATGGATAATTAAAAGTATTTTAGATATACTTAAAATAAAAGCTTTAAGAGTTTCAAAGTGAGTAAGCAAGTTAGGAAGGATATAAAAAAGAAAATGGGGACAAGGAGATGCCTGTGTTGAGAAATAAGCCTCGAGAAATGAGTAAACAAGAACGAGGTTAGACTTTCAGCAGGAAATAGCACAGCACATGCACAAGCTGAAGGGGTGAGCCTGGGAGATTAGTGACCCAGGGTCAATAACAAAGTCAGTTAACAACCTAGTTAGTCATCGCTATTGCATCATGTCCGGGAAATGAACGCCAATGTACGTGACCATTTAAGAGAATGTTGGCCTCGTTTCCTTAGCACTGTAGAAGCTACAGAAAAGTTTATATTCTATGACTCATCTCAGTGCTTTGATGCAGTATTAGTTACAGTACATGGGTGTAGGCAACTGGCTAACACCAATTAACTATGACCAATAACCTGAGGGTTTTGGTTTGGTTCCTGGATTAGCCCGGGAATTGCCTTGAAGCATCAAATAGGAGCACCACACTACTTGTGGGTGATACTGTGTCCTATTTGGATGCTCGCCAGGACACAGAGAAATTTTGCTTTTAAAACCCATGTCAGGAGCTGCAAAATCAGCTCTCCAGCCAACAAGAAACTCTTCTCTTGTTTCCAGGCAGTTCAGGACAAAACCATGCAGTTGAGATCCTCTAATGTAGCTGCTGCTTCAAAGGTTCCAACTCTCCAGTAAGTATCTCTCTCTCTTGATCAGTCCTTGCAAGAAGTATTAAAGTTTTACTATTACTGTTTAAAGATTTGGATGTTGAATTCTCATAACAAGGAATTGTTGTTAAAAGTTAATAAAGATTACTTTGAGTATTTACTGTTGGTCCGAGACTCATATTCTTTAGTCTAACTGTAAACTCCTCGAGTTAGCGACTTGTGGCTCCACTCATCACGACAAAATCCTCCAACAAATAAATTTGGTGTACAGGTTGGTTTTAATTGAAGCACCAACAATTACACTGCCACTGTTGCAGGTTTTCTTTCAACTGCTGTTGTCTGTTTTCTTGTTTATTTTCTCGTTCTTCTTGTTTATTTTCT